TCCTGGATCATTTAATATTCTGCCTAAAGCATCCTTGATTATAGCAACTTGAGGTTTGAATTTGTTCTTCAGTTCCTTGAGCTTAAGAAATGCTGAGCAGGGGGGTGGGGGTAGAGGGCTGGGTGGGGAGAGAAGTGCAGCAATGAATGAATGGAAATCCAAATTCTCTGTAAATGTTCATTAAAATTATTTAAAAAATAATATCAAAAAATGCTGAGCAAGTTTGTCCCTTTTGATTTTTTGACTCCAACTCCTTACACATTTCACTGTAATATTTTACTCTGTTGTCCCGTGCTGCCTTTTGAAATCTTCTATTCAACTCTTTAGTATCTTGAATTCTTCCCTCTACTTTGGCTTCTCTGTGCTCCAGTACAATTTTCAGAGTCTCTTCTGACATCCATTTTGGTCTTCTCTTCCTCTTCTGTCTTTGCAATGACTGTTTGCACTCGTCCTGGATAATACCCTTGATATCCTCCCACAACTCATCTGGTCTTCACTCATTAGTGTTCAAGGCCTCAAACCTGTTCCTGAGCTGGTTCCGAAATTCAGGTGGGATAGACTCAGAGTCAAATTTTGGTTCCCGTAGACTTAGTTCAATTTTTCTCAGCTTCAGCTTGAATTTGCATATGAGTAGTTGGTGGTCTGTTCCACAATCAGCTCCTGGCCTAGTTTTCACAGCTGATATTGAGCTTCTCCAGCAGTTCTTTCCGCAGATGTAATCAATCCGATTCCTATGCATACCAGCAGGTGAAATTCATGAATATAACCTGTTTATGTCTCTTAAAAAACGTATTTGCGTGCTGGCTTCGGCAGCACATATACTAAAATTGGAACGATACAGAGTGGCCCCTGCACAAGGATGACATGCAAATTTGTGAAGCGTTCCATATAAACAAAAAAAAAGGAATGAAAAAAAAAGTATTTGCAATGAATTAGTCATTGATTGTGCAAAATTCGATCATTCTCTCTCCAGCTCCATTTCTGTCACCGAGTCCATGTTTTCCAACTACTGAATCTTCTTCTCTATTCCCAACTTTTGCATTCCGGTCACCCATTATTATCAATGCATCTTGATTGCATGTTCGATCGATCTCCAACTGTAAAAGCTGGTAAAAATCTTCTATTTCTTCTTCCTTGGCTCTGGCTGTTGGTGCATATATCTGAATGATAGTGGTATTCACTGGCCTTCCTTGTACGTGTATGTATATTATCCTGTCACTCACAATATTGTACTTCGAGATGGATCTAGCAATGGCTTTCTTAACTATGAAAGCAACTCTTTTTTCCCTCACCTTTTCATCTCCAGAGTAATATATCATATGATCATCCAATAGAGGGGAAAAATTAGGAAATCCCAGCAGGCAGAGAAGAAGGGCACCAAGGTCCTGAAATCATCCACCACATTCCAGATAAAAGTGGAGCCCCAAGGCCTCAGCGCACAATCCGTTCTAAGGCCCCATAGAGGGAGAAATAAAGAAATCCAGGCAGGCAGTTATTTTTATAGGAGCAGACAATGAGGTATTCCTCCCATTGTAGCTTTTGGGGAGATTTAAACAGTCAACTTTTCAGTTAATAGCTAAGAGCTTAAATGCTGTGCTATCAGGACTCCTTTATTTATTTATAAGCAAATATCATTAACTATAAATTATAACATATCTTTATTAAATAGAAATAGATTCCTATTTATTTCCTCGTGTTTTGGTTTTTGTGTGTATGTACATGCATATACATTCATACACCTAGAAATAAAAAATTGAAGCGTCGAAAGTTTTTTCAATAAACAAGAATGAAAACTAGCCAAAATACAAATGTCAG